TATATGCTTAAAATAATAAATATCTTAAATATGTATTAAGAAAATTATTTTTAATATTTTCCATGTGACTACTTCTCCCTTCCAATTATATTTAATTCCTCTACAGTAACTCCATCAATTTACTTGCAGTTGAAAATTGCTCAAAAATTAAATACATAAAATTGTCGAAGAACTTAAAACAGCTTAGCTGAGTTCAGGCAAAAACTGAATAAAATAAAAATAAATTAAAATTATAAACAGCTTAACGGACACTGACCAAATACCATAAACCATGACAAAAACCAGCTGCATACCCACACACGCACACATATACAGATGAGTGCTACATGAAGTTCTGGAAACAAGAGTGATCAAAAAAAGTGAAAATAACTTCACTACAAAGTTGCAGCCAGAGGGGCTTAGTGTTTGCGAGTTTTTGGTTTGGCTTTTGGGCTGTGAACGCGTGAGTGTATGAGTGTGCGTGTGTGTGTGAGTGTGAGTGTATCACTGTGAATGAGTGTGAGTGTGCTTAAGCCCATGCGTTGACAAGCAGCTGCAAAAAGAGAAACCTGCAATAAATGAGCTTAGAACTTTTCTCAAGCAACACAGAGACAAATAAAATACAAGTCGCTTCTTGTTAAGTGAATTACGCCCTCACACATCCATACATACATATATAGAAAGATATCATAAAACAGTGATAAACATGGGTCGCAAGAAGAGGCAACCGATGGGCGTAAGTATTCAATAGTAGTTGCTCGAATATTGCAAGTATCAAGCAGCTGCCAGCTTCTATTTGCATATTACGCATACGCCGCATTGCACGCGTATCAGCTAGTGACTGCTGCCGGCTCCTGGTGGCTGCTGCTGCTACCGGCTACCGRCACTTAGTTTAAACGCTCCAAAAGGCACATTTCATTTCCATGCCATTTAAGTGGTGCGAATAAAGCAACCGCTCAGCCAGGCAACCAGCCATCCAACACTTTGTACTTAATTTCCCTATATGTTTACGTTTATGTTCTTCTCTTATTTTTATTTATTTACACCTGCGTGTACTTTCACATACTGACTCTGTATTTTTTTTTTTGCATTTTTTTTTTCGTGGCTCAGTTGCCGCCCGGGGGCATCCCTAAAACTGTGGGCGGCTGTTGTGTGCCGCTGGGATTACCGCAACCTTTGCTGCTTGAGGAGAAGAAATTCTTGTTGGCTGTCGAGCGTGGCGATATACCAAATGTTCGCAGGTGAGTACCGTGCCGTGCCGCGCAGTGACGTTGCGCTTCTTCTTCCACCTTTTTTTTTACAGTGCTACCAAATTTGCGCCTGTTTTTTAAATGTTGTGTCAGGGGACGCGCAGGTGTCGATGGGTCGTATCCGTATCCGCGTTTCGTATCCCTCGACGCGATATGCGATATACGGGAAACGTATAAATCCTATCACCACGAAGGCGTGTGTGTCTGTATGTCAGTCGCATGTGTATGTGTGTATGTGTCTGTGTGTGTCTGGCTGTGTGTTTTGGGTGGTTTCAATTATTTGCATAGCTGCCTGTTTGTTTGCCCTGGGGCATATCTTGCGTGCCACTTAATAAGCAATATGCGGAAACGAGTCCTGTTTGCCATTTCATGCCATTTAAAATCGCATTTTAATAAATTTACAATTAATTTCGTTCTATATTTAAGAGCGCAGACACCATGTTGAGTGGCCAGAGCATTTAAAGTGCCATGCAATAATATCTAATTACATATTTATCAAATTTCCAATGAGGTTAAATGAAATTTCATTTATATTTCATTTGATTGGATGTGTTGAGTTCCAAGGGCTTTTGCTTCAATAAAAAATAAAAAATAAATCTTATATTGCTCGAATTGTAATATAATCTATCTAAGTTTATTTATGCTTATAACTATTAAATTGGATAACTCAATAAATAGCTCGACAGATTTATTAGTTATATGATTGCAGGAATTATGGCTTTTACGTCAATGGGTTATACGTTTAAGGGTTGTTTCGTTGCTATATTAATAACTAAACCCAACAAAGCTCACTCACTCTCAATATGTCTACTATTCTATATATTTGATTTGTATATTTTTACAAAATTAGAGTAAATTTGTTTTTTTTTTTTTTTGCTTGTATTAAACTTTTGGACCGATTTTAAATTTATTTACCAGTACAATTCTGCAGAATATAAGTGATATAATAGGCTACGAAATCTGTACAGACGATTAACAACTCTACACGTGGAAAAATAATATCATTATATGCTTTAGTTAAAAAAAAATTTGTTTTGTACATTGGGTTTTCAATTTTGTATATTATATTTTGTTTAGTATATTTGTTAGTCTTACAAAAATTAGAAAAAATAAAAATAAAAATTAAATAATCAACAAAAATAGAATACAATAAAATAAATAAATAGTAATATAAATCGAAACTCTTAAATATAATATGTACAATCCAGAGATTAATCTTAATGTATTTTTCTGCTAATTCCCAATATTATACAATCAATTCACGTGTAAGGCCGGTTTGGGCTCTTGTTTTAATTTTCTGTCTTAGGTAGGCGGACAGACTGACAGAACATCAAAACCAACAATCATATCAGATTTGAATAGGCAATTGCAGATACAGACTGAAAGAACTCTAGTCTTTAAACTGCAGAGGTGTCCAAACTCAAAAAGCTTAGAAGAAAGAATTAATCAGGATTGTAGCTTAAACAATTACTAATTATTGATTTATTTACATTTTTTATTATTTGTCAACGTCTTTACTCCTCAAATTTAAAGAAATAAAAATAATACAATAGAAAATATTATACCATATTTGGTTCATCAACCATAGACCCAAGAACCAAAAGCCACTGCTCGGTTATATAACCATTTATGAACAATCATCAATCGTTTTAAACATGAAAGAGTACAAGCATTAAACACATTAGATCCTGTGTGTGCTCTGTGTTAAATATGAAATCATAAAAGTGTAAAAACATCGAGTCATTTGGGAGGGGGCAACAGACTCTCAACGTGTAGTGTAGTGTAGAGCACGGTGTTGATATGGTTGTAGCGGTGTCTTGTTGATGCTGTTGTCGTTGTTTTTCTTCTGAGGCGGTTTGCTGTTGCCTAATTGTTTTTTTCGTTACTTGTTCTAGGTGCTGGTGCTCCAGCTGCTGCTGCTGATGTAGTTGATGTGGTTTTTCTTTTTTCTTGTTTTTTTTACATTTTTAAATTAATAAAACGATAGGGATTGTAGCTCTTCATCTCGTCCAAGGTGTAACGGTAGTGTGCCTTGGAGGGCTCCTCTTCGGAGCCAATCGAGTCATCCTCCTCCTCGCGCTGCACTCGAATGCCCTTCAGTTGGCAAGCGCGACGATAGAGCTCCTCCTCGCGATCCTTGTAGAACTGCCAGGAGATGCGGCTGAACGCGGGCATTTGATTGAAGTCTTGCCCAGCTCCATTCGGTGGAACGGCAAACCAATTTGCGCCACCTAATTTGACTGTTTGCGTTTCTAATTGATGGATGGGTGGGTGGATATAAATGGATGGATGTATGGACACACCCGTTTGTTTATTTAACAGTCGGCTGTGGGGTATTCGGCACTCACCCTTGTTCTTCTGTGCCATTTTAATGACCAAGCCTTGATCCTTAGTAGCGTCCATACTAATTGTTATTATATTTTTTTGTTTCTTATTGATTTGGAATAGGTTTACAAATAATTTAAGTGCCAAAACAGTTTGTTTTATTCGGCGTTCTATTCAATATATATTTCGTTTTTCTTTGAATTTTTTACAACAATTTATGTTGACGAACAATTGTAAAATGAATATTCGAGATATGTGCTGCAAGGTAACTAAACTGAAATTTTGACAGCTGCAAGTCAAAGGTAACTACGTTGACTGTTGTGTTAATCGAACAGTGTTGCAAAATGCACCATTCGAGTAGCTCACTTCAGCTTACCAACACTGTAGACCGATACCAGGAATTTGTTTTGAAATTGAAATTCTTTATGATTTGATTTTACAAGCTTTTCCATATTAAATTTGACTCTACTTACAGCCCCAACTAGTTGCCTTTTGTAAAACAAAAAACAAATACTGAGTGCCCAAAAAATTTTGAGTGCTTTTATGGCACTCGATTGATGGGCAAACTTTTCGCTGAAGTCGCATATAATTAAAAACTTTAGGAGCCGAAGAATAACGCAAGGGCAAAAGTTATTCCCGGCCGCTTCTGTTTTCCAATAATTTGCTTATTTTTTCTTCTCTTAGCCAATTGATTTTAATTATTTGCCACGCCCACTTGTGGGGCACCTTTCTTTAGGATATTGCAAAAGGCGTTGCGGCAGCAGCACATCAACATCAACTGCATGGACCCGCTGGGCCGGCGAGCCCTCACCCTGGCCATCGACAACGAGAATCTGGAGATGGTGGAGCTGCTGGTTATCATGGGCGTGGAGACAAAGGATGCCCTACTGCATGCCATCAATGCAGAGTTCGTTGAGGCCGTTGAGCTGCTGCTCGAGCACGAGGAGCTCATTTTCAAGGAGGGCGAACTCTACGTAAGTAATACGACTGACGACTGACGACTGACGATGGCGACCGACTCCAGCTTCACACTTTTCTTATCATGGCCATACATAGCCTGGTGCTGCACTCAGCTAATTTGTGGCACACATCGAGTGGTTCTGCTTTCAGTAGCTGCTCGAATCTGAAGCTAACACGATTTTAATCAGTTTTGTGTGGCCTCGTTAGGCACGTACATGACAGACGCTCAAGTGATTGGGAGTGTGCGATAAGCGAGCCAATGCTTCCGCCTCCGACTGTTCCTATATGCCACACACAGTATGCCCGATAATCCCGCCTGTGTGCCTGCTTATCTACATTATACACTTTCATTGGCTGGCATAACTTTCTTGTTCTATATATCACATATGTATGACTCTGCTGTAAACTATTCGTATCATATATATTTTAAAATAACAGTTTAAAGCTCATCTACTAATTTAAAGCTAACTTTGATTACTTCTCATATAACTTGTATTGTGTTCAATTTAAAGGATCATGTAAAATCTTTTACGTTCGCTCATTATACTAAATATATTTTTGTTTATTTATTTGTGTGGTTTTTATATATTTTGTTTTCCACTAGGCTAAGTTCGTTTTGTATGAGATATACTTTGAGCTTTTAATTTGTTTAAGTGATATTAAAAAATATATATGTATATATCATGTATTTCGAATATCTTTCAAATTCTAATTTCAATGAAAATGTACAATAGAAAATTGAGCTGCTGTAAATTGATTTAAGTTCATGCTTCAATGAGTTCGAAGAGTTGGATGATTTATTAGCAACTCCTAGGTTACCCTATGTAGGATCATTTTCATCTGCCAAGCCCTTAAGCGTATTTAATCTTCGGCTATGACTATTTAGTATTCTTCTCCTGTTGAAAATAAAGTTGTATGAGTGTGGGCACGCTTCTTCCTAGTCTTCTGCCCCACTCACACACACAGACACACACACATATATATACATATTTATGCACATATGAGCGCACGCTTCATTAAGCAGCCATTGGACGCAATCGAAGCGTGAAAATTACAATTGTAACTCATATGCAATAAAACGTTTAATGAAGCCAAAATATCAACTCGAAAACTGAGTGACTTCTTGAGTTGGCGCAACTTAACCTTAACTGTAATGTGAATAACTTTCGCAGAGCTGGCAGAAGGTGGACATCAACACGGCCATGTTTCCGCCGGATATAACGCCGCTGATGCTGGCGGCGCACAAGAATAACTTTGAGATATTGCGAATACTGCTGGATCGAGGGGCCGCCGTGCCAGTGCCCCACGACATACGGTAAGTTGGCCCCGCCTCTCGCGAGTTGCCATTAACCTTGGCTCGTTTAGCTGCGGCTGCGAGGAATGCGTGCGTCTCATGGCCGAGGATTCGTTGCGGCATTCGCTGTCGCGCGTGAATATCTATCGTGCGCTCTGCAGTCCATCGCTCATTTGCCTCACCTCGAGCGATCCCATCTTGACAGCCTTTCAGCTATCCTGGGAGCTGCGCAACCTGGCTTTGACCGAGCAGGAGTGCAAGCTGGAGTACATGGACCTAAGACGTCAGTGCCAGAAGTTTGCCTGCTGCCTGCTGGATCAAACACGTTCTTCCAATGAGCTGGCAATTATACTAAACTATGATCCCTCTATATCCAGCTATGAGCCGGGAGATCGGATGAGTCTCACGCGCCTTGTGCAGGCCATATCCTACAAGCAGAAAAAGGTAAAAAAAATAATTCGATAATCAATGTGAGATGCAATATTTAACGATCAAAGTCTTTATTGTTACATATTCTATTAGAGAGATCATTCTTATATCTGACTGATTTTATATTCGAAAATACATATCGCATAGCAATTGTATTTCTCCTATGTCCCTCTAGAGTGTCCAATTAAACTTTTAGTATTTATATTTGTGCATATGAATTTTATATTAATTGTATACAAATTAATTATAAACCCGAACGAGGTCCTTGCCTTGTTTAAAAAAATAAGACTTTAATTGTGAAAGTGTGCCTACATAGTGATTCTATATGAATCTATTAGGCACATTTAAGAACGCAGGTCAGTTCGGGTGAAAGGTATTTCCCAGTCGGACACCCAGGCTGAATTCTTACTGGTTTTAATCTGAGCTTTGGCTGTTCACATGCTCAACAATCTGAGATAATGCACAGTTGCCAGTAAGCCGCTTTGTATCTTACATAGTCTATTGTATCTCGAGGAAGCTATTGAATCGCAAAGATACCTTTGCAGCGCAGAGGCGCCATTGTGTGCTGCGGCTACTTTTGTATCTGAAAGACGTACTTTGTTTTTAATAGCTGCATGTCCATGCCGTTTCAACATTTTGTTTGCAGTTTGTGGCCCATTCGAACATCCAACAATTGCTGTCATCGATTTGGTACGATGGACTGCCCGGGTTCAGGCGCAAAGGCATCGTCGACAGATTCATCTGCATAGCGCAGGTGGCTCTGCTGTTTCCGCTCTACTGCTGCATCTATATGTTTGCGCCGAACTGTCGCACGGGCCGATTGATGCGAAAACCGTTTATGAAATTCCTCATTCATGCGTCTTCCTACGTGTTCTTTTTGTGTGAGTATGGGGCGGGGCAAGCGCCAATCGGGGTCGTGGGTCAAGTGAACCGTTTATGCTGTAATAACAGGAGCAGAGTCGGAGCCAGAGCCAGAGCCAGAGCTCATATCCTGACTGTTTACCTTGCAGTTATCCTCATATTGGTATCTCAGCGGGCGGACGACGATTTTGTGCGGCTCTTCGGCACGGCTCGCATGAAGGCTGAGCTGGCTGAGCAGGAGCAGCGGCAGCGAGGCCAGGCGCCCAGCAAACTGGAGCTGCTTGTGGTGCTGTATGTGATTGGATTCATGTGGGAGGAGATCCAGGAGATTTTCGCCGTGGGCATGCAGAACTATTTGCGTAACATGTGGAACTTTATTGATTTTCTGCGCAACAGCCTCTACGTGAGTGTCATGTGCTTGCGGTAAGTTCACGTACAACTGTGAACGTCAGCCAACAGCTAACTATTCGTAATGCACCCGCAGCGCCTTCGCCTACATTCAGCAGGCGACGGAAATCGCGCGAGATCCGCAGATGGCCTACATTCCGCGAGAGAAGTGGCACGACTTTGACCCACAGCTGATTGCCGAGGGTCTGTTCGCGGCGGCGAATGTCTTTTCCGCCCTCAAGCTGGTGCACTTGTTCAGCATCAATCCGCACTTGGGCCCGCTGCAAATATCGCTGGGGCGCATGGTCATTGACATCGTCAAGTTCTTCTTCATCTACACGCTGGTGCTGTTCGCCTTCGCCTGTGGACTGAATCAGCTGCTCTGGTACTTCGCGGCGCTGGAGAAGAGCAAGTGCTATGTGCTGCCCGACGGCGAGGCGGACTGGGCCTCGCACGGCGACTCCTGCATGAAGTGGCGACGCTTTGGCAAGTCAGTCCAGTCATTCAGTTAATTAGAGGGCGTATGTAATCCTAACCGGTCCTGCCTTGCAGCCTCTTCGAGTCATCGCAGTCGCTGTTCTGGGCCAGCTTCGGCATGGTCGGCCTGGACGACTTCGAGCTGACCGGCATCAAGTCCTACACCCGGTTTTGGGGCCTACTCATGTTCGGCTCGTACAGCGTCATCAATGTGATTGTTTTGCTGAATCTGCTCATCGCAATGATGTCCAATTCGTACGCCATGATTGATGTGAGTCGCCGAAGTGGGAGCTCCACTGGCCAGTGGCTTCATTAATGACTTTGATTGCGTGATTTGCAGGAGCACTCGGACACCGAGTGGAAGTTCGCACGCACCAAGCTCTGGATGAGCTACTTCGAGGACAGCGCGACGCTGCCGCCGCCGTTTAATGTGCTGCCCTCGGTTAAGTGGCTCATTAGGGTGTTCAGGAAGTCCAGCAAGGCCATCGATCGACAGCGCTCCAAGGTGAGCACCACTTAACGACGCCCCACCCAAACTGTTTTCACTCAAACTGTTTTACTCCCGATTCCCGCAGAAACGGCAGGAGCAGGAGCAGTACAGCAAATACGACAACATCATGCGCTCCCTGGTCTGGCGGTATATCTCGGCCATGCATCGTAAGTTTGAGAACAATCCGGTCACTGAGGACGACATCAACGAGGTCAAGAGCGAGATAAGCACGATGCGCTATGAAATGCTGGAGATATTTGAGAACAGCGGCATGGACGTGTCCTCAGCCAATAAGAAGGAGAAGCGTAAGTGCGCACAGTCGACTACTTGACCCAAATATAGGACAGATATATGTGTATAATATATACCCAACGCAGATCCGCGACCTCGTCGCATGAAAGTCTGGGAGCGACGGCTCATGAAGGGCTTCCAGGTGGCACCGGTGCAGGCCAGCAGCGAACCGGAGCTGCTCGGCAACGTGAACGGCGAGGGCGAGATGCGTGAGGTCAAGGTCGAGTCGGTGCCCTCGAGGCCGGCCAAGGAGACGGCGCGCGAGCGCTTCCAGCGGGTGGCGCGCACCGTGCTGCTGCAGTCAAGCACACACAAGTGGAATGTGGTGCTGCAAGGCACGCTGCAGAACTCGCAGATTGGTCGCAGCACCAGGCATCAGCGCAAGAGTCTGCACAATCTGGGCAAAGCCATCGAGGAGGCCAGAAAGTGAGTGGCTCTGCAGTAAATCTAATAGATGATTCTAAATAATGATAAATGCTCTCCAGGCTCATTCTGCTCAACCCGAACTGCGCGTCGGGCCGTGAGTCACCCATTCGCATTGAGTTCGAGGACGAGAAGACCAGCACGCTGTTGGAACTGCTCAATCAGATCAGCGAGGAGATCAACCACCCTCGGCTATCAAGCAAGCCCTGCTGGCGTCCCCCCCTGAGCACTGTGTCACCACGTGCGATGGCCGCCAGCAATGATTGGTCCAGATCCCACACGGCGCCGGAGCTGCAGTTGAATCGGAAGTCGGCGCCTCAGTCTCAGCCACAGCAACAGCCTCAGCCACAGCCTCAGCCTCAGGCGGCACCAAGTCGTGTCGGCTATCGCACACGCGAGCTACCGCTTTGTCCAAGTAAGCTGGTCACGGCCTCTGCACCCACCGCCAAAAAGACGGCACCACCTGCCCCACACGTCCTACCGCCAGCAGCTAAAGCTCCAGCAACAGTTAATAGCGGCAACAGGGCCAGAGCGACGATGCCCTTCTCTGTGGAGCTTGGTCTAGGCAGAGGAAGCTTACATCGCGTGCAGCCCAGCCATTCTAATGCCTTCGATATACATGTCGTCGACTTGGATGAGCGCAGCCCAAGTAGCACTGCACTCGATAAGGACAACATGTCCGATGTCAGCTCCGTGCTAAGCGTGAGTCCCAAGCGGCCAAATCCTTAAATGCGTCGTTTGCGTGGCCCCTTGTGATAAGTCTCTGCCCCAGCCCGAAGCAGACTCCGTCTTTAGTGCTACTTACGGCGTATGCCAAGCCAGCAAATAACATACGTATATACTATAAATGATACAAAAATTATATACATTCGCAAAATATAAGTCAAATGTCTTTAATATTTTTTATTCTTTGTTTCATATCATCTTTATTTTTGCATTCATTATAAATTTGAATATGTTTATTCACACGTAATTCCCATGAACAAATGAGGACAATTTGAAGAGAAGTGTAACTAACAACACCCTGTACAAAATGAGAACGCTAAAGATGTGGAAGATCTAAAAATGACTATACCTATAAAATATTAGACTTAATTCCTTTAAGAGAAATAAATTCATATTTAACAAGATTATTTAAACTACTGCTAGACAATTTTAATGGAAATTTTATTTAAAA